CCAAAACTAATTCCTTCATGAGGAAAGCTTCCAACGAATACGATCCTTTGTCATCATAACTTGCGTAAATAACTATTTTATTGTATAACATATTGTTTATTCCTTTATACAAATCATTTTAGACAGAAATATTTATGAGACAGTAAATGTAATTTAGGGCTAAGTAGTGTTTAAAGTAGCCTTTATTTGTAAGATTATATCACTTTGATTTCCGATAAAATATATTAAATGTAAATGTGTATACGAACCATATTCAATACCATAAATTACTTTTTCTTTCTCATTATTTTGTAGTTAAAACGGATAAAATATTAGAAGAGTACAAATTTTTAATGTTACGTCCAAATAATGACATCGCATTGTAATTAATTTTTAAGCAAATGCATCAGACATTTGGGAAATTTTGTGTCAAATAACTAAGTCATTACTGATTTTCCATGATGTAACATTATTTTAAAAGGGGTCGGTGTCCGTCGAAGTATATTCGTGTAACTGGTGGGAGAGATAGAATGTCAATAAAGAGCAGCGGAACATGAAAGTTGGGGGAGACATGAATTTCTCGTTTATATGACGCACAACGGGAAGTTGAGCAAGCCTCGTCGGAAGAAGATTTGTGTTTGTGTAGGATAGAGCTTTCGGCAAAAGTAATATTTCAGACGTTAGAAGAAAGATTAGACTGTGAATATCATTTTCAGATGAATATTAAACTTTGCTAGGAATGACAACTTAACGTATAAAATATGACGAATTTAATTTTTTAATATTTTTTTGTACAAATTAATTTTGTATATAAAAATTTTGTTTTGTTGATAACAATGATTTTTATTTTAACGATAATTAACATTATTTAACATTAATAATATTATTAATTATTTAATATAAGTACATTAAGTAAGTAGATTAAATCAGATTAATTTAATAAAATATTATTCATAAATGCATGAGAGAATTATATTACTTTGTTTATTCGTTCAATGGCGAATTTTAATATCAAATTAAGCATGAAAATAGACTCATATCAATAAATGACTCAATTTTTGCTCCTGATGTACTTATAGTACGTTTCTTACACACATTGCGCATACAAAAAATGATTCACTACCACGAGATTTTATTATCCATTTCTGTAAAAGTTTAACAACTGGCGATTCATCAGTCTTGTATTCATCCGCGACATCTTCATTTTCATTTGTATACTTTCGATGACTAAATACATTATACTTTAAAATTGTATTTCAATCAAGTTCAAAAGACAAAGTTTTATGGTCACTTCCATTTTATTAAAAAATAAGATGTTCAATGATCAAACATGAATTATAATTATCCAATCAGACATTCCATTTTGATATTTTAAATCGAATCGACACGAAATATAATACAGAATTATTAATATCGTTAATATTATCCGCAGGCGATAACAATAGTAAAAATGATAAACAACTATTCTAAAAAGAAAATGAATAAAAATAAAAATAGTTAACGAATTGAATATCTCTTTTTCTTTTGTTCATTCTCAACGTTATATTGAATTGGATTTGAATTTCACGTACAAATGTAATTACGAAGTCTAACCAGAACAATGTATATCTGCTTAAGATAACTGGTTATATTTTATGAATGATTATATATGTATAATTTCCTGTACGCGGAAGTATGTAATATTAATATTTCATTCCGAGTTCTTTTTATGATACAAGATCCTTGTATTTTTATCACGCGCGTTAAATTAATTTTATGATAAATGTAATTCAAAATAAAAAAAAAAAGAATTTAACCTTTCTTAAAATGAACATATTGTTATTAAAAATTTAGATTCAATTAATTAAAAATATAAAATGATGAATTCAAAAGTATTTTACAATTTTTATTTGGAAAAAAAATTGAAACTGTGAAAAATGAAATCGTTCCTAGAGAAAATCTTCTGTCAGATTGAAACCGTTCATTTGACAACTTCCGCCCTCAGGTTCTTAAAAGTGTAACGCCTTGATGAAGGGAGGAGATAGAACCAAATAGAAAACGCTTTTATTCTCTTGAATATTTTATAAAACACAAATTGATATGTAAAATATCAGAATTTAATATTTTTTATATCACAGATTATTTAGAAAAACATATCTTTTGAATATATAATATTGAATAGAATATGCCATAATAAAAATATAATTAGTGCACATAATAACAATTCGATTATATTTTCTACTTGAAATTGTTGTGAATTTTTTCTGTGAAAAGGATAAAGAAAATGAAAGAACACTCAATAAGGAATCATTTGGATATTAAACAGATAAATGACAATTTATTTTTTTATCATATTTGAAGATTTTTAAAAAATTGCACAAGGAATAATATTTGTGCTACAGCGTCAAATAGTGGTTCCTTCGTACTCATTCGGTTATTTTCGGAGGCGCTCGGCTAGCTGGCGCGCGCTCCGTTTGGTCGTCGGTGCTTCAGTATTCGTTGCGACTCCGTAAAAGTGAGACGCGTTCTCGCGGTATCTGGCTGCTTCGTAACCGCGTCGTAACCAGAAACGCGTTCGTGAGGTGCGAGAACGCCTCAAGTAACCGTTTTTGTAACTATCCGCGTGTACCGGGTGAAAATTACCGATTCGTGTTATACATATCCTTTCTCCGATTGTGTGTACTTTGTACACCAGACAACAACTGGAAGAGAGAAGAGAAGAGAAGTAAAAAGGGCCACATAGGGAGAGCAGAGAAAGGAAAGACGAAAGGATTATATATTCGAACAACATGGCCACTGCGATCGACGACCGGCAGGAGTTGTTGGAGCAATTTCAAGCGGTGAGTCCTTTTATCTTTTTCTTGCGATGAACTTTGAACAATCGTGTTACAAGACATCCGTTGCTATAGTTTTTCGTTGATGTTGTACGTATTACTACGTACACCCTAGTTTCTTATCGATCGCCGGTTTTATCAGCATGCTTTCGTGGAAACCCACCCTCGTGAAGACTACGCCGGGTGTCGCCGCCCTGCAGTCAGTTTATTCGTTTTTTACGTCAAGCTTTCGCGAAATTTCAAATATATGCAACGTATTAAGGACTTTATCTTTTTTATAATTGCGCGTATTGAAATGAAAAGGTAATTTCTTTATTTCAAATTTATTAACATCATGTTTTTTATGTTTTTTTTTTAAATAAAACTACGTACAAGTATGAATCATTGCATCAATTTTATGCGATTGTCTTGTAACAAGGATATGAATCATACGTAGTCCGTGTAGAAAAACGACGTATACATGTTTTTCGAACGCATTGTTGATCATGACTGCATTTAACGTCAACGATTTTTCAAATCGATCGGGCGCATAATTACATACGATATCAAGTATTGTGACCCAGTCACTTTTCACTTATTCTGCCCAAGATACGTATGTTCACGCATCTGTAAGCATTCTCTCTGTTTATATTATGCGTATATAACGTGTTTTGCTCTGTATGTTCGCAAAGCTTGTTAAATAGCTTGGAACCATTAACGTATAACATAAATTACGAATTGAGCATTATCTGTTGTGTTCATAGTTCGCGTTACCGGTATCGAGTTTATTTACATTCTGTCTTACGGTAAAAACATCACCATAAATTCAACATACGAAATAGTATTAATCATTTCGATATTCAAATTGTACTATTTTGTTTATTGCATAATTGTTTCTCATCTTTTTACGAGGATTTGCTTTTGCCATATCTTTTTAACGGAACTGATCATTCGATCTTTAATTTCTTCCGATAAATATCTCTAAAATTCCTTAATACCGTTATGACTATACCGAGAGGAGAGCTTCAACTCTCCAATACCGTATCGCTGTACTCTCACATATAAAAGAAAGGCCATGTGACCGTGATCGCACGTGCTTGTCCTTCGAATACCTATGGTTGTTCCAATTACCATAGGACTATTTCTCCACAGATATAAGCATACAATGCGGTGAGATGTACACTTTACTCATGATTTTTCGATCGATTTCGATCGGCTTCGTATCTCATTGTCAAGTCGTTGTTCCTTATTTCTACGAGCTCACGGTTGATTAACTGAGCGTGCAGTCTCGCTTTGCGAAGCTTTTTACTCTCGATCGTGACCATTAATTTTTTGTTCGTGCAAGCTTGTAAACTTGTAACTGTGGAGAAACTTAATATTGGAACATTTAATCTATCATTGCGAAAACGTGAGATATTAAGTTAAATACGAAGGGATTAAATTTTTTCTTTTGATGAAATCCACATTTGTTAAATATATAATTTAGATTATGTACAAATTTTTAATAAACTGATAACGGTAAACTTGCTCTACCTATATGATGCAACATATCGGATATTTTATTATAAATTATTCCATCTAATATCTATTATAAACTCCTCGTAATATCGTACAAAATAAAAGCGTAACCCACTCGTAGTTTTTTGTATCCCATCATCACCGTCCTATCGATCGAATTTGCAATTTATGAGTCACGGTCCTCGCCACTGCACGAGGTCTGCTTTCTCCTCCAAATATACTCGTGCAATATCTGGGCAACGGTGACCAAGTGTGGCGTTTAATTCAGCAGGATACAATTATAACCGTTCATGCGGATGGTGCTTAGGAACGAGAGATGAGAATCCCCTCGAAAACAATGACCTTGCTCAAGTACAAGGGAGATGGCGAAATTGCTCCCTTCCGCCGGCATTGTCGAGAAAGTCTTCAATTATCTTATTGATCGCGTTACCGGTGCGAGAACGCAACCCCTTCCGCGACATCCTGCCCGATGCAGCATTGCGAAAACGCATACACCGATACGTATTATACACGTTGAAAGGAAAGGCGAGGGGGACTACCCTTGACGCGACGCTCATGGCCCTAGGCGCGGCCGATTTGAAAGTTTGATCGCGGCGGCATCGAATTTTATATAACTCGATCACTTTTAGAGAACCGTGTTACGAAGAGCGGAATAGAAGGAGGACTATAATGAGAATAGAAATATTGCATTGGATTGATGAGTAAAGTGATTGAATTTGGAACAGAAGGTTAAATAACATTATCGAAAATATTGAGATGATTAAAGGATTGGAATAAAAGGATGAGAATTTGAGCGCATCGATCGAAAAATACTCAATTTCACGCCCTTTCCAGTTCAAAGTTGTTTTGAAATAATTTTTGAGCCGAAGAAATCGCGATTCATTTTATCAACTGGCTGGAGGCAATTCGATGTTGGCCGGGTAATAGGGTTGTTTAAGTTATTCAACCAGATCGAATTCCTCCCCGTAATTTCCGACGGTCAAGATGCTCGAATTATCGGAATGCTTAACTCGGTTCGTCTGGTCGGAGGACACGCGGATAGATCTAATAGACTTCTCCCTCTGCTTCCCGCCCTGTCTCGGATTTACTTTTCGGTAGCGAAAGTCGTTAGCGGAAGTAATCGAGGTGGGATTCGTATTTGCACTCCGTGAAGGGTGCTCGAAAGGGAGTCGTACCACTCCTCGTGACTCTAGAGTGTCCTAAAGCGATTATGGAACACAGCGAAAAACTTCTTCGTACTTCTTTTTTTTTTTTTTTAATCGTAGGACGCGTGGAATAAGTCGGGATTATATTCGTTGGAATACGATTATTAGTGTCCCATTTAATTTCGTCAATGAAGATAGATAATGCGATTACATATTATTTAATTTATTCGAATTGTTTTGAATTTTTAATCGATCACAAGTAAGGTTGAAGAAAGAATATTGTACGGAAGAAAATTTGTCACGGTTAGAGAAAAATTCGCGTTGGTTGGCGCGTAATAGGCGGAATTCCAGATCAGATAACGACATCCGGAGGAACGATTTCGATTCGTCGAAAGCGTCGATTCCGTTCGCTTCGTGTCGCATCTGCTTTAAAGCTTGGCATCGGCTTTTTTAGCGCATCTAAATCACCCCTCGAGTATGTAAATATGTAGTACGCGATAGTGCCCGCGCGTCTGTGTGGATTACGGCCGCTCCGCTGCACAAGGGGTTGAGAGTCACCCCGTCAGAAACAATGTTGCGAAGAGTGTTCTTCTGAAAAGGGTGGCGATGCACCAACCCCGGATCTATCTTTTCCCAGTTTTCTTTCTCGCCTCGGGCGAGTTTCCAATTAAAAAAAATCCCGGAAATCTTGCACCCCTATTAAGAATCTTGTCTGTCGAGCGAGAGCCGAAAATTGGTTTACTTTTGAAAAATAATTCGTTCGATATTTTAGAAAGGTATTTTTTCCTCGGTATTTTTAACTCTCTACTCGAGCTTTATGATTTTTTTCGCTCAAGAAGAACGAATTTACGTTATCATCATCGTTTAGACATTTGAACGAGTTTTAATCTTTTCGAAGACGAGGAAAATATTTGATATATCGAGAAAACAAAATATACATCAAAATACTCCCCTGATTTTACCCTCCAAAAGTTGTCCAATTAAACGAACGTATGATTTTCAAGGAGAAAAATTTCAAACGATCAGAATCGTTCGAATAAAATACGAAGCCCTAGAAGCGCATTCACAATACACTTGAACTAGTTTCTCCATTTGCGTTGGTAAAATGGCGTGGTAAATAAAGGAGCACGTGCGCTCCAACCCCCTGAAGCGTCCTTACCGTGCACAGACGCGTGCCGTTCTTTTCTTAACCAGACATCGTTGCTGTTGGTCCTTTGCAGCGCAGCTAAAATAGACCATCGATGTTGCGCTCCCGAGAATTAAACGCTTATGTTTACTCGAGTTTACCGTGCCGGGCTCGCAGCAGGGAAGAAAAACACGGGCGAAACAATTGGAAGAAGGCGTTTTTACGATCGGTTTTAAGGGGGTAAGGCAAATATACTCGAGAGGAACAAAGAGGTATGATGTATATTTGGCTCGAGTATATATTTTTTTTTTTATTGTAAATATCAAGAATGAAAAATGAAAAATCGTACTCGCTTATCGCGAGAATTTCACGGTTTATAATTCGCTTCGTAAGATAAGTAAGTTAACAATTTTTAACTCGAGTATTTTATAAAGCAATTGGACACAGTTCACCAATAGAATAGGTCATAAAAGAGAGTAGTATTATTAGTTGAGTTTACTCAAGTTTGTAATAGGATCGTTTAAATGAAAAGCTAACTACTCGATTAGTATAATTCCACAGACGGAGTTTTCGGAATTTGTTATTATATATTTCATGCATCGGGTGTTTCTCGGCTACCGTGAGATCGGTACCGCTTCGGACCAAAACTGTTTCATACCTGTGCGAGCATGAAATTAATGCAGCAACGGGTTGTTGATGTTCACGAAAGAGGTGTTATAATTTTATTAAATACACCACACGATAATAACTAACATCGCTGATTTTTTCCAAGTCAAAGTTTATTCCAAGTTTATTTCGCAAATAACTTGCGTTATCTATTCACACGATACGCCGACCAACGTGCCGACTCATTCGACTTTTCCTCCAATGAAATTAATTAAATCGAATAATTTCCCGTCAATTGTTCCTTGTCAATTTTCCCTCCCCCATTTTCATTTCATTTCAATCCATCTCCATCCATCCAAAAAAAAAAGAATCTCTCTCTCTCTTTCTTTCTCTTCTTTTCTTCATTCGATATTATCTCCTTTATCGTCGTAACGCGTGACGTTTCAATTACATCGGTGCTCAGTCAAGGATATCGTACGAAAGTCACCGAGATTAGAGGCTGTTTAAAGTGTGCCTCGCGAATATTGCTCAAGATAAAAACGCCCTCGGCCGACATTTCGCAATATCGCGGGGAACAATTAATTGTCGGCTCTGTTGTACGCCGAATTTCTTCGCCTTTTCTTTCTTCTTCT